GCTATAAAGGCGCAGTGTGTAGAGACATCTCTATGGCTAATATCGTCAGTGTTTTTATGTAGTTATAGGTTTAATTGATGTATGTATAATGTCTCTTCCTCATGACATAATAGCCTTCTGTTAAAAACAACAGTAGCAGGTTACAGAGCAGTGCTCCCACAATTCTCCATGCAGCAGCAGCAGCAGCAGCAAACATTAAGCCCATATCCCCACAAGCCATACCCACTATTTAACCAGATAATTACCTCACAGCACCATTTCCTACTGCAGTTGTGTAATAAGCATTCACCCATGAATACGCCTCGCACCACTTCTCCTTAATTAACACCCTCAAATAGCAAATAAATTGATGTGTGTGGACCAACGCTTCCCCTGTTGCTTTTCTGTCTTTGGCAGAAAGACTGGGGGTTGCTCTCACATCCTACAAACAAAATGTGTCCTTATTGTTAGATTTATAAGGTGTCATTGCAACTAATTTCGCATTTATATATTCAAGAATTTTCTATAATTGCTGTGCATAGCAATAAACAACTTTAGAAATATTTGTTATGGCCTCGTATTGCTCATGAATTCTGCTTTCCAGCTGTCTGTGTTTGCCAATTTTACACTCGTTCCACCCTGCTTTCATTATTAAACTGTATCTCTTGTGCAATGCTACATATCACCCCTCTTCCTCTCAGTCAGTGACTCAGTAGGCCTATCCTTAATTAAGATCTGCAGAATTATTATTTACCAAACTTTGCACTCTTACTCTCTGATGTTTTTCTTAATTAGTACCCATTTTCCATGCTTATCTTATTTACTCGTTTTCACATATTCAGCATCTCCATCCAGTCTCATTATTTTACTCTCACTTTCCTTTATTTAGCATCCCACTGCTCTATCATTTATTCCTCCCTTAACCATTTCCCCTCCTCTGCTTCACTTTTTAATCAACATCCTCAACATATTTACATCCAGGCACATGTTCTGCTTCCATTCTTTTGCTCCATCACTTTTTTTTCCATCACTTGTTTATGACGGCACTGGCAATATTAACATCAGGAGGAATATTATTTCCCATCAACCACCTCCCCTCCTATATTTTTCCATCTGTCTTTTCTTCCGGTCTCTCGCCACCTCCCAATAAAGCCAGCTCTCGCACCTATCCTCCTTAATCAGCATCTTATAAACAACCATAGAATTAATGTCTCGGGACGTAATTATCCCCGCATCTGCCTCTCCCCCCCCCCCCTCCTACTTCTCTCATCAGCCGAAATATTTCCATGAACCTGAATGCTGACGTGAGGGCAGTTTGGTTATTGTGTTTTTGCTAGTTTTAACCAAGCAATGTGATATATAGGTCAAATTCTCTCTATCAAATTCCACATGCAGTTCATTTCTTGAATTTGTCCTTCTAGTCAGCAACCTCTCTCAACTATGTGTCCTCCTATCAGGGGGTGTAGCTAATTGTGAGCTATATTTTCATAATCTTTGAATGTGAGTGAGTTTGAGCGTGTTTGTGTATTTTTCTTAAAGGCCCTGTCACACTGTCCCGAAATTGACACCCGATGGACACACGAATATGGAATTTTGAATTTCGCACGATGATGGCCCCGAACCACACACGAAGGCAACATTTACATTACATTTAAGACATACAACTGCAATGAAAGTACCAAAAACAATTGTGTTACAGTACTATGATACTGTACTGATATCTTCAGACTTTGTTCTTTACTTTATCCGTCGTTATATGTAGAAAATATTACGTTTTCTCCGTAATGTTGTTTCCATAACAACAACAACTTCCTGTCAACTGTCCTTCAAAATAATATATTATATCCTTTTTAGTTTCATAGAACACAAATTGGGTTATTTACATAATATATTTACATGATTTTGTTGTGCAATAAAACAACCCGATGGACACACGATAAAGGAAATGTTCAAATTCGGCTGTGATCGTAACAACATCGGGCCATTCGCGAGGGCATCTTAAGCCTTCGTATGACCGCCGGTGGAGTTTCTCAGGCTCCGGCAGCAACTTCGTGAGCGGTGGCAAAATCTTTGGCATGCCAAATAATTGCCGAAGGACCTTGCGAAGGTTCATTTTCGTGTTGAATTCGTGTGTCAATTGTGCCCTTCGTAAGGCCATCGTGAGGGCATCGTGTTATCATCGGTGCCATCGGGCATTCGCCCCGATCAGAGTGAGGGCGAATGCCCGATGGCACCGATGATAACACGAAGATGACACGATTTGACAAGATGTCCTCACGAGTGCCTTACGAAGTTGCCGCTCACTAAGTTGCTGCCGGAGCCTGAGAAACTCCACCGGCGGTCATACGATGGCTTAAGATGCCCTCACGAATGGCCCGATGTTGATACGATCACAGCAGAATTTGAACATTTCCTTTATCGTGTGTCCATCGGGTGTCAATTTCGGGACAGTGTGACAGGGCCTTAAGTACCGTACGCATGTGTCGACTTGTGAATAACATTTTCCAGAGCAATGTTAATCCTCATTCCCTAGATACATCAAAATACAAACCCCATTGGATTTGCTGGGATGGAAACAGTGGAAAAAGAGTAACTGTAAACAAAGCCAAGTGTAAGGTGTGACATAACAAAGATGGAACAAAAATAAATCTTTCCTTCAGTTCAGTGCCATACTATCGGCATACATACTATTTTTGTATTCTTGTACATTCTTGTACTCTTTGAGTTTTAATCATTTCTTTCTAACCCTAGAATGAGTTCAGCAAGGAAAGTCTTACACAAGCAAGGTTTTAAAAGCGTATTTATTATTTGAAAATTGTACTCCCATAAGAAAATGTTTGATATTGCTATAGTGAAATGAAAGAATGTATCTCATATCTGTGTGGTTAATGTGTACCAGGAAGCTCTTGAGTCTAGTTTAGCAGAAATACCTTGAAAAGGAGGAAACGGCTGATAAATGGTCACATAATTCCTGGTTAATTCCATGCTTTGTGGGTCTGTTTTTTGCGCCAAATCCTATTATGTAATGCTCACTGAGAGACAAAAAAACATACTGAGCCTTGTTTTAGAGGTGCTACTAAGCATATTGGGTTACCTTTGCCCAAAGGCCGCTTACCGGTCTTCAGTTTAAAGTTTACCACACCGACATAAGCGTCGTGTCCATCTTCTCATTTTACTCCCAGCAAGAAAGAAAATATAGTATCATTCCAAAGTGTCAAACTCTTCCTTTGAGGCCAACACTATAATAACAACATAATTTAGAAGTGATGTTTGGTAATAAAAGGCAACCCTCTACTTTATGTGCAGGAATTTCAAAATAATCTCCTGAGAGCTGCTCTTCGAAGTAAATGTTATGTGATACTATAGTATGGTCGGGGGGGGGGTAGTTCAAGTTCAGTAAAATAATCTGCTGTTGATTGTCAGAGGAATGACCTCAAAAGAGCTGCTCCATTAAATGAAACAGTTAACAGCTAGCTCAATAAGGGTTTTTCTTCGGCCTGGGGCTGTTGGTGGGATTGACGATGGCAATTGATGACCCTAATATTTCTAAAATCCTCACTATAGTCCGGAATTAGTTGCTTGACGTGCACACTGACAGCCTGTGTGCATGAGTCGGATTAGAGACTAAAAGACTATGTGCGCTTTAAGTCTTGATAATGCATGTGACACACTCTCCACTGTAGCTCCTGTTTTTGTTAATGAGGTGTTCACTTCAGAGGTAAGCTACAACTGAAGCTTTGCAACACAGCCAACAGATCCCGTTATAACACGTTGATCCATCATCTCTGCAGAGTAATTGTTGCTTTATTGATGCCAGGAAGAGGGCCTGTGCGATCAGTATATAAATATATTCAATAGTAAAGGCCACAAGCTGGTTAAGGCCAAAAAGAGTTTGGGTCCTGGCATTTAACTTAGTGCCACTTTGCCAAGCTGCCTCCATCAAAATCAGGGCCAAATTCAGCCTTTGAGGCCAAATAATCGGTCAGAAACATTCAGTATTTATGCTGCCTGTCTGCGAGTCAAAGAAACATACAGAGTCATAGTTGTAATGGCTATAATATATCAAACACACAGGCACATACACATTCGCAGCAGTACGTTATTGGCTGTTATTGATCCTCAGCGCTTTCATTCTTGTCTTTAGGCGGTAAATCCCAGTCTATCTTTTAGTTATACCGGACAACTGAAGAGGTCAATCTCCAGTTCCCCCCCATCATTATATCTCCTTCAACCTTGCCCTAAAAAAAGAGCACGTACACACATGCTGTTCCATCATTTACTGCAACGCAAGGCCGAAGTCAATAACCCTAATGTCATGTTGATGGACCAGGTCAATATCCTCGTGTGCTCTCTGTCTGTCTGTTTGACTGTTGTCTCCTTTTCTCCTCATGTTTCTCTTTTTTCAATTTTTTTCTCCTTTGACCATTTACTATTTACCATTTTGTCAGTTTTTCATTGAATTTGTGGAGTGAACATGTGCAGAACCTTAGATTAATTGGTCCTTTGGTACTTACCCGTAATAAAATAGGACTGCTCCTAGTACTAGGATGTGTTAAATGCAGAGGTCAAATGTCACTGTGTGTGCTATGTGCATGTATGTGTGACAATTAAAGAGGGTGTCATCCTCCGATTCTATCTATAAGACTTCTACCTGTAGGGGCTCCCAGACTCTTTGTTTTGCTACCTTCAGCTCTGGTTATGTGTGTATGAGTCACACATGGACGTCTAGAATTTGAATGGATTTGTTCTCAACATATGCCAGGACACACACACATAGACACAAACACACACTTGCATAAATAGACTTTCTATTTCCCACTTCTCCCTCAGAAATGACAGCATATCATGAGCAGCCCCAAGGTCATTGCCATGCCGGCAGAAAACGAATATTCCCATGGTTACCTCTTTTCATCACAAAAGGACTATTAGCTTGAGAAGCTTGGAGAATTAAGCTCATGATGGATTCCTAAACATTTTTAACATAGTTCATTTGGATACAGGTAAATGTTTTTTTTACTCACATGTGTTGGTTTTGAGCAGGCTGTTTGTGTTCCTAAAGTACTGAGGGTTTTCTATCACCGGGATCTTGGTCATGCCGATGATAACAGCATCGGGGCCCATCTCTGAGGATGAGGGAGTGTTACTGCCGTTGGAGACGTGGTGAAGAGGAGAGGCCGAGTCATCATCGTTACTGATCACAGAAGATGGTCCTGAGAGAAAGAGAGTTCAGTTTGGTTATGTTTTTTTCCATGAGGTCCTGCATGTGAACTAGAACATACTACACCTAGAAGACATGTTAAAGGACTAGGATTTAGGATGTTAAGATGTTATTAGCAGAGACTGAGGAGATGAGTAAAGTGAGGCGATTAGGTTGTTCCTGTTGATCACAATAGACATTCAAGAGGAGGATGGTTGTGTTTCACAACATCAGTTTGAGTGGGTTAGTTAAAAAATGAACAATATTCATATGTTTTTAGTTAAAGGTCCCCTATTATACTGTTTTTCATAAATATATTATAGGTCTCAGATAAAACATGTCTCTGAAGTGTTTGGCTCGAAACACCAAACAGATCATGCATTGCAGCATCCCATAATCCCCTCTGTTTCAGCCCTGTTTCAAAAGTGCTGATTCTCTGTCTGTTACTTTAGATGAAAATAAGGAGCCCCTCCCCACGCCCCTCTGAGAGATATTTGGTTAAAAGACCACAATGGTGCTCTAGGAGGAGATTCAGGTGATAAGGTGTGGGGGGGGGGGGGGGGTGGTGGTTACCTTGGTTGGTTATTTGGTTACACAAGCCAAAAAATCGTTATGACATCATAAAGTGGCCAAAATATGATCAGCTCATTTTCAGACAGGTTTTTATATAAATGGATCAGGACAAAAAGTGAGCAAAACTTTTTTCCTGAAACTTTTATGTTGATGTATAAAAGACATGAAAAAGTGGATTTTGCATAATAGGTGACCTTTAAACTAATACGCCACTAAGTTTTTAGTGACTTGTGAAATGGCAGACTCATTACAATGCTCATAGAAGTACAGAGTTATAGTCTGTATCTGACACAGGTCGAATAGGGCTCTAAAGAGTTAAGGGATCAGTATTCTTGGAGCAAATGCTTTGTGCTTGTCTGATGGTTGAGTAGTGTCTGAGACGCCTACCCTCCTTCTCTTCTCCAGTGCCAGAATTGAGTTGAATTTCTGTTATTTTCCGAAACAGACAATTTGACCAGAGTGCTTACAGAGAGTGCCTAAAAATGCAGGGCTCTCCATCAAACAGTTCAACCTGGCTCCGCTTTGAAATGTAATTTGACAACACTCAGTTTTTTCATTCTGTGTATCTTGTGATTGTTGTCATTGAAGATAAAACTGTTGATAAGTTAGCGTTAAAATCCTTTCTCATAATATTACAAATTGTGGTAAATTGTTTTACAGTAAGTCATAAAACTCATGGCTCTGTTAGTCCAACTAAACTGAACCAAATAGATGTTATTTCCTGTATCACCTCTACCAAACAACTCAGCCACTTACACTTTCTATTGCAGGGCTGCTTTCAGTCTGAAAAACAAAACTTTAAGGAATCTTCTACATTACATTACATTGCATTTAGCTGACGCTTTTATCCAAAGCGATTTAGAATAAGTACATTCGACCAGGAAGACACAACCTTGAAGAAAACAGAATCATATAAGTACATCAGGTTTCATAGAGCCAAACATTTCAAGTGCTACTCAACTGGCTTTAGGTAAGCCAGTCCTTTATTAGTATAAAAGTGCTTCGTTAATAGTTCTATCGCTCGAAGTGGAGTCGAAAGAGATGAGTTTTCAGTTTGCGCCGGAAGATGTGCAAGCTATCTGCCGTCCTGATGTCAATGGGGAGCTCATTCCACCATCCTTGGAGCCAGGACAGCAAACCCACGTGTTTTCGCCGATGGGAACTTGGGTCCCCCTCGCAGCGAGGGTGCAACGAGTCGTTTGGCTGATGCAGAGCGTAGTGCACGCGCTGGGGTGTACGGTTTAACCATGTCCTGGATGTAGGAAGGGCCAGATCCATTCGCAGCACGGTAAGCAAGTACCAGTGTCTTGAAGTGGATTCTAGCAGTTACCGGAAGCCAGTGAAGGCAGCGGAGTCATTTTTAGTACATTGAGTTTTAAACCTAGTAAGTAAGTAAGCCAAAATTAGCATCACAATTACTATCACAGTTGACCTGTATTTCAGGACTAGTACTGAAACTTGCTTTCCATTTAAAATGATCACTTCTTGCTCCAAAAAAACTAAATAGCTACTGGCCAAAATGCCATGCTCAAGGCTGTTGTTTGAGGGATATGTGGATGGGGAAATAGCAGCCCCCATTGTGCTGACTTGAGAACACATTTGCAGGTTTCCATCTGTGGAAAATGAGTAACAAAGCCTGTAAAAGTCCCATTAAAGGGTCAAGCCTGTAGAATAGCACTAGCTCCTTTGTCAACAGTGGTTGTTTTCATGTTTGAGTGCTGTTTATTTTTTAGGTCAGGCTCTGCAGCATGTAATGATGAAGTCAAGGTAAGAAAACAATAATAGCACATTTCTACAAAGCTGGAGGGTAACCGAGGAAATTAATGGATGTCTCAAAAAGACGAATGTCAACAATATAGGCACCTGGAAGAGTAAAAACCCAAGACTGGAAAACAGTTGTCTTTGCTTTAATACGGCTATTATTTGTGGAAAATATCTCTGGAGAATGGGCCTTTCTAAATCCAAACTCCTTTTTTAGTCTACATAAGATTTCAAATTCATACTTCATATAACAGGCATTTTGTAATGCAATAACAAAGTGACCATATCAATTATTGCTCTGAAAACAGAAGAAGGGCAATGGCATGAGTTAGACGCCTTGAGACCAACCCTTTAACAGAACAATTACTTATTTTGGCAGGAGAACTGAGGTGTTGTTAGTTAGTAATTAAGACCGCGAAAACAATCCAGGATCTCTATTCCATCTTCACAAGTTACAGTACACCTTCATGGCATTGCAGCTAATTGCCTGCGTCTTTGGGTGAAGTGACAAAGCAAACAATATCAGCGCCACATAGCAGCTACATTTTCAAGTGTGTACTGGCACATGTTCATTCTCACTCTCTCCCACATAATGGTTAATAAACACATAAACACAAATACTGAAACAATTTTACTGAACACTTTCCAACATGACTGTCTGTGCTCGTTCAGTTTCATCCCTAACATTTAATACTTACCACATTTAAGGATAGGTTCACATTTGTGTCCACATGCCTGTTATCTTATTTATTACTGCAGTGAGAGTTGCCAAATAAATGTCATTGTACTTTGTATGATGACAATAAAGATATATTTTAAAAGCATTGACTGGTCTCTGTAGTTTAACCGTCCATCAAAATGTGTAAGATGGAGGTTGGGATGGATAGATGGGTCAACAGTTATTAGAGTCTAACACAGGAAACCTCTGTTTGCTTCCTATTTCCTTCCTTCCTTTCACATTGTTTTTGTAAGCATGACCATAATCCCCTAATTCCCAACCTTTACTCAAAGTAAGCACTAATTCCAACCTCCAAGTGATCGTTTTGTATTTATGCCTTAATCATGGCTAACACATTATAAAAGAAACATATGTTTTCATTTGTAACAGTTTCGTAACCCTCAGACCTCAGATCAGAAAACACAACATTGAGGGCATGGAGCCGACTTGTTGCAAATTAAACAACTTTGTATTTGTTCATTTTAAATTGTGTGACTGCTTCTGCCCTGATAGCAAACAAGCCCTCAAGATTACAAAGATATTGCTAAATTGTGGAAATTTGCACGAACTGGATGGTGGAGACACCTACGACTTTTTCACCTTTGTTTGTTTTTTACTGTATCAAAGATCAACCAGGTCTATATTTTTGTCGTTTTGTCATCACAATGTCTTTTGAATTGCAGATGATACAATCACAGGAGTGAGGGCCACACATTCTAACAAAATAACTTGATGACACGCACCACTTGAAATGTATCTTAATCACGTACATGGAGGGGGTTAGCAAATTACGTCTTTTCAGTTCATTGTCCTACAAGTACTGTTATAAAAGCTTGTGAGGAGGGATTTTATGTGTCATGGTGCTCGCATTTATGCATTCTTCACTGATTTAGGGGGAGTGAAAGAGGGAAACGATGTGTATGTGTGTGTGTGTGTGTGTGTGTGTGTGTGTGTGTGTGTGTGTGTGTGTATGTGTGTGTGTGTGTGTGTGTGTGTGTGTGTGTGTGTCTGTGTTGGTCTCTTTAAGAGCATAATTCGATACTGCCATCCAGTCTTAGTTTTTCAACAGCTGTAAGAAGAACAACACTAGCGGCAGGTTTGAGCATGGAGATCTTCTTTGATTAAAACCGTAATCCTAATTACACAACTACACACGTATACGCGCGAAGGCGATGACGCAAAGTCCTTTTGCAGACCTCTTCAAGACACAAGCATAAGCCTGCAAATATGGTGTTATGAGCTGAGATTGATTTCCCATGAGCACAAATACAGTAGATGTATTCCCTCTCATATGGTTTGTTGTGCTGAATTATAATATTGGTTGACATCGTTCATTTCCTCCGTCCCTGGACTCATATCAGGCTCTAGTGCTGCTGACAAAGCCTGATTGAGAGGGAGAAACTGAAAGAGTTTGTTTGTGTGTGTGTATGTGTGTGTGTGGGGGGGGGGGGGTGTTGGTCACTCATGAGGATTGAAAAGGCCTTGAAAGAGAAAAGGAATGAGAGCAATAGCACAATAGTTTGTTTTGTCTGTGTGTGTTGTGCACACCTATACGTGTGGTACGTGTTTGTGTGCTTGTTTGTTGAGCAGATATGTTTTCCAGCAGCATCTTTCTGTGTCCAGGATCGGACTAGTGTGCTAATGTGTCACTCTGAATGAATGGATACTATAGAGTGATGATGGACGAGCAGAGAATACCAACCAAGTCCCGGGCTGAACTAAAACATGTTCTTGCTCTTTGCTGATTTGCAAATGTTCCACAGACGACTAGTTTTTTATTTGACACGCCTTACAAATTGCTTAGTGAAAAAAAAGACACCTTCTCAAAAACGTCAACTTGTCATACTTTTAACAGAGCCCTATTTATATTGTTGTTTACATTTTTTTTATTTTGTAATTGATTGAATAACCCTTTTGACTTATGTTGTATATTTGAAGAAGAAAAATAAAACAGACTTGTT